ATCGGTTTGACTATTCCTAGTAGGAATTGGATTGACAAATCAGTAGGATTCCTAACTTAGGAAGAAGAAACAAACAAAACTGCTATCTCCTAATTTGAATAGAACTCCAGGAGAATTTCCAACTCTTTATTGGAATAGGATTCTTCTTTAAGGATTTGGCCACAGATTTCTTCTCTATATAAGGAATTCCAACCACAGAATTGTGTTGCTTCCTCTCTGTCCTTTTTTTTTTTGTACGACTTCTTCCTCCTTTTTTTCCCTTTTTTTTTTGTATGACTTCTTCCTCTCTTTTTTTTTTTTTTTTAATTTTCTTTTTATTTTCATGCTTTCCTCTCTGTTTCTTTTGTAAACCAGCAACGCAAATTTAGAAAAGCAAACTAAGAAAGAGAAGAATGATATTGAAATTTTTTTTTGTTTTGTTTTTTATGATAAAAACTGAAAATTAAAGATACGCAAATCTGATTTAGAGCCTGTGCTCTGATACCAAACTGATACAAACTACGCCAACCTGTGACGAAACCCGTAAACAAGACAAGGCACCAGGACTGTTTCCAAGACAAGTTCGAGAGGATGGAACCGCGACCTATTACCAATGACGGGGTAAGAACCTTGGTATGGAGAAGACGCCACAATCAACTATGGAAGAGTTGATTGATAAGTCAAGGATGAACACCATGGATAATTTCGATAAGTTCAAAAAGTTGTTCAAAGAACCAGAGAGAATTCGTTCTCACAATGTTGATGAATAATGATCTGTTTTACAATTAGGGTTGTAGCCCTATAAATAGCTAAAACTAAACCAAACTAGAATAGGAAACTAACAAACCAGGTCCTAACCCTAATAACCATGAATTTGGGCTTCAACTAAATGAATGTTTGGCTCAAATAACACAACAAATGTAAAAATAAGCTAAAATAACCTAAAAACATTGTGAAATATTAGTTTGCGGCCAACTATGGCATATTTGACGCAAACTGTGTAATTCAACCCAAGAAAGAAAAACTTGACGTGCAAGCCAAAACCCAAAAAGAAAAGTAATAAATTTGAGCCAGAATGCTTGTTGAGTTCACGCCCAAAGTTCATGACCATTACTTGCAAAGATTAGGCTTGGTTTTGCCAAAGTCTTCTAGAACTTGGATTAGGCTGATGTAATTTTGAGGCCCACATGGACTTCCCTTAATGGGCCTCCACAAATTTGCTTGAGTCCATAGTTCTCAAATCAGTCCATTAAGCGCTTCCTTGAACTTCTTATCTCGAGCCCTCGTAACTGGTACAATGGGAACTTGAATTGAATCCTTTAAAGTCAAACTTGGATTTACATCACTAGGCTTTGCTTGTATTGCTCTCATATTTGGTTAATTGAAATCCTAAAGTTAGTTTATAGTAAAAGTAGTGGAATTTTGAATAGATAACTAGCCTTAACTAGCCTATCTTCTAATCAATGTTTGTTTGTTTGATTGTCCGTTAAATTTTGCCTTTTTCTTTGAGTGAGTTGCTGCTTTCCAACTCCATGAGAGAAATTGATGGGAATCAAGATGACCCTACAATCTTCATCTTGATGCTACCTAAGTCACAATCTTGTCGATCTCCCCACCTTGTCAGATTTTGCTCTCTTTGGCCCCCTCTACCTCTCATAATTCTGTCCATGCTGAAATTTGAGTTCTGGGCATCATTGTTGAAAGCATCTTTATAATCGTCATCGAAATCATCATTAGCATCATTCCTGCACAAATTCGGGCTTCCATTCTGTGTTTGGTATAACTTGGCTATCGCTGCATCTTGCTTCTCCATTTTGTCT